CCCCCCCCCCGACCTTTTTTAGGTCGTTTTAAAAAAAATATCGTGCAAAGGAATGTTGCCGAAAAAAAAATTCTTGCAGGCAATTGGGAGATGAAAAAAAATTCGTGCACAGAAAAATTGTCCCCCCCCCCCCTCCCTCAAATATCTAATGGTCCGTCCCTAATATGCAACAGCTGATATGGCGAAACAAAGTCTGTTGACGTATTTAGTGTAAGCCTGCTTTAAGTTACACTTTTTAGTGTATTCCTAGTGCGGTATTTTTATATAGAGTTCAATATACAAAAAACTCGTCTCTGTACATAAATAGAAATTGCAGGGCATAAATCAAATCAGGAGAATATTACACTACACTGAATACTCTGATATACATACCTTGCTTTGGAACCAGCGATTGAGGCAAGTTTCAAACAACCTACCTCATTCTCAGATTTTACAATTTACTGGCAACATCGCGTAATATATAATTCACTAGACACTGGTCTGTGTTTACCGTTGAAGCCATGGCATATGTTTCAATGTGATATTCAAATTACTAATGAAGTAGAATTTCTGACCATGGCTCGACCCAAAGCGAACATGAAGGAGAAGCGACTGGAGTGAAGGGTATGCATGGTAAAATTGTGTGAGACTTTCTTGAGGTTCTGTGTGCCATAATTACTGTATATATGCCACAATGCACCCTACTTTATTATTTTGCTCTGTCTAATGCCAGACGATTTTACTCTCAAGGGGAGAGTCTGCCATTCAGTGAGCTAACCCAATTAAACAAACACAATGTACCTTGGTTTTTACTATAACTATAACTTTGATATGCATATTTTTTCAACTGTGCTATTTACATGGATTCGTTTATTTGGCTACATTTATAATCATATTGTTAACGAGCAATTCTTGTTCTAAGACGTTACGGAATAATGAAAGGCCAATTAAGTTTTGTAATTTGATTATTCGATAATGTGTATTTTGTCAATCGCATAAAGCATATTTACATTCAGTCTCCAGGTTTGGGACCTTGGTAAATCAATGTGAAATTGTTGACCAGTTGGCAAATGAAGTGACAGCTTGGCTGCATCGCAATCCAAGACTAACTCAACTGTGTCACCTGCCGTGGTGAGATTTTTTAAAGTATTGTCATATGTTTTTGCCCCTTCTTTCCATACTTGACCAGTTCTCCCGAGTGCCCAGCCATGCGAACCAGGCCATTGATGTGAACGGTAGTTATTTTGTTCAATTTGTTGTAGAGCATCCCCTTTCATCACGCCAACAAACATCCAATTATTATTTTGAAATGATTCCAACTTCAGTTTGAGATGCACTGTCCCTTGTTGGTATCTATTTTGACCAAGAACATATTGATGCCCTCCATTTGGACCGTGAACTGCCACTTTCTCGGCTTCCTGAAGAGTAATTCCAGGAACATGTAAATTAAATTTCTCGCTTCGCCCAATTTCAGTGGGGACGATTCCAACAGTCCCAACAGTCTCTTCGGCAGGCACTACGATTTCATCACTCAAGCCGAGATACTCGACAAGAGTGTTGAAATTTTTTACTTGATCTCTTGGAACTTTTGGCAATTCTGCAGGGTTCTCTGGCGACGCAATTTTCTTCATACGAAGGTAATCCAAAATATAACAAAAATATTGTGGGTTGACGTCAAAGAATACGGCGCCATCTTGATCACGCTTGAGACCACGCTCCCACCTGCCACTGAACATGATGGCAAGTAAGGAACCTTCTACTTGACACAAAGTAGATCTTGTGCTCGTGAATTTTTGTCCACCCACATTTAGATGTATTATATCATCGTCGCTATCTTCGAACGGTTTCATTCGTTGTTTCTCGGCGTTGTACTGTTCGACTTCCGCCTTCATTTTTACTCGCTCGCCTTGGATAATTTCGTTGAATTCCTCTTTGAATCGCTTCACCAATTCGTCGAATTTTGCCAATAGATCTTCGCTGCTCATCTTGTGACTTTGTAAATACACTAGGAATGATTTTCAGTTTGGTAAGACAGCTTTAAACGTATGTAACCAGTGTAGCTTGCCTTTGTTTACTTCGTAGTAAAAAGCGCTCTATTTTGGGAACAATTGCGAAATTCTCTTTTATATGCAAATGCTGACATCTGACCTAATCCAATATGCAACAGCGGATATGGCTTGTTGCGAAACAAAGTTCTGTCGACGTATTTACTATTTAGTGTAATGCAGCGTGCTTTAAGTTATTGCCTGTCCTGCATTTTAGTGTATTCTTAGTGCAGTATTTTTATATAGAGTTAAATAGACAAATATTCTACTCACTCGTCTCTGCACAAAAATAGAAATTGCAATGTAGGCATTAAATGAAATATTAGACCAATACTACCAATACTGCAGGCCAATATTTAACTACAGTGAATACTCCAACAGACTTGAGGCAAGTTTTAATTAAACAATCTACTTCATTCTCAGATTTTGCGATTTACCGGCAACATCGCGTAATATAATTCACCAGACAGTCTGTGTTTACCGTTGAAGCCATATGTTTCAAATGAATGTGATATATGCAAATTACTATAATCAAAGTAGAATTTCTGGCCATGGCTCGACCCAAAGCGAAATCCGAAGACGAAGAAGAAGCGACAGATTGTCAATATGGATAATGTGGGTATATTTGGAACTCTCCTGAAAGAAGTTGAGTTCACGTGCTGCACATGACAAAAACGTAATATCAATAATTTCATTAATAATACGTGTTTTGTCGTATGGGCGAAACAAATCTACATCCATTCTCCAGCTCTGCAACTTTGGTAAATCAATGTGAAATTGCTGACCAATGGGGAAATGTAGTCAGGTTTATAGGATATTTCTGTATTCAATCTGTATTGATACTAAAGATGATGCTGACATTCAGCAAATACCTGATTGATTATGGGATTTTTGCACAATATGTAGCTAATATGTCTTAACAAATGTACACAGACTCCAGGCGGAAATCAGTGGTCGTGGAAGACAGCTTTGCATCGCAATCGAAGACAAAACATAGTTGGATGTTTGTTGGCATTGTGAAAGCCCTTTCGCTATGCCAACAAACATCCAATTATTATTTTGAAATGATTCCGACCTAGCTCAACTTGAAACATACAATCCCTTGTTGGTAAATATTGTCATGAACACATTGGTGCCCTCGATCCATATTATCCGTGATGGACTTTTCCATTTGCCAGGGCTGTGTAAATTAAATTTGTCGCTCGGCACAATCTCAGTGGAGACGATTTCAACAGTCTCTTCGACAGGCACTACGATTTCATCACTCAAGCCAAGGTACTCGACAAGAGTGTTAAACTATGGTGTTAAATGATTTCTTGGAACGTTTGGCAATTCTGCACAGTTCTCTGGTGACAACTTTGCATCGCAATCGAAGACTAAACTGACGTTGTTGGATGTTTGTTTGCGTTGCGAAAGCCCCTTTCACTATGCCAACAAACATCCAATGATTATTTTGAAATGATTCTAACTTCAACTTGAAACGTGCAATCCCTTGTTGGTAAATATTTTCAGTGAACGTATTGATGCCCTCGATCCATATTATCCGTGATGAACTACGACTTTCCCGTCTTCCTGAAATTTAATTCCAGGGCTCTGTAAATTAAATTTCTCGCTTGGCACAACCTCTGTGGGGACGATTTCAACAGTCTCTTCGACAGGCACTACGATTTCATCACTCAAGTCGAGAGACTCGACAAGAGTGTTAAATGATTTCTTGGAACGTTTGGAAATTCTGCACAGTTCTCTGAGACTCTGGTGAAAGCTTTGCATCGCAATCGAAGACTATAAACATTGTTAGATGTTTGTTGGCGTTGCGAAAGCCCCTTTCACTATGCCAACAAACATCCAATGAGTTTTGAAATGATTCTTACTTCGAATTCAAAGATACAATCCCTTGTTGGTAAATATTTTCATGAACATATTGATGCCCTCCATATCCATCATGATGAACTGCGAATTTTCCGTTTCAACTTCATCTTGAGAGATACAAACCCCTTGTTGGTGAATATTTTCACCAAGAACGTATTCATATTTGGACCGTGAGCTGCGACTTTCCCGCCTTCCTGAAGAAGACGGGAAAGCCGCAGTTCTCAATTCAAATAGAGAGGAAGTTGCAATTTTCTTCGTGCGAAGGTAATCCATCGATAAAACCAAAATATTGTGGATTGATGTCGAAGAAGACGGTGCCATCTTCATCACGCTCGAGACCATCTTCCCACCTTCCACTGAATATGGTGGCAAGCCAGGAACCTTCTACTTCACACAAAATGGATCTTGTGCTTTTAAAATTAATTAAATTCCTAAATAACTCCAGTGTTGCGAACTAGATTTGAGATCAGTTTGTTTGACCTCTTTTATGACTTTTAATTTTTCAATACTTTATTCCTATTTTGTTCCAAGCATGGCTGACATATTCAGCTAAAACGACACGATAAAAACACTTTATTTTTTATGCAATAGATGCTTTTCTACTCAACAAGACAATAGAAAGGTAAAGTGATTAAAACTGTTTATTTTTCTGTTCGTTTTAGCCTAATAACTTGCTTCAAAAATGTTCTTTCGACACGGAGCATGAACACATTGTACTTGCCGAAAAATGGCAACATTTATAAAACTAACATATGACTGAAATAAGTCTAGAAGTAACGTTTAAACTGCCGTTTTAAGGTATTTTTTTAAAACTTTTGTGTTTTAGGATAAATTCTTGGTTCCAGTATTTATATTTTAACGTATATTTTTCGAAGTATAGCTGAATATATACTGAGCTTTTGAAACTATTTTAACAATTAGGACTGATTTTTCGATACTTTAATACATGTCAAAGAAATGCTTGTTTTTTCGCATTTAGGTGGGAAAAAAGTACATTTTGGACTTGGTACTAAATCTATTGAAGTCAGTTCAGCTTACTTTCTGTCTTTAACATGGATATAGGGAGGGTTTTTTAACTTTTTAGATAATTTTTCAGTTTGAAAATTTGATTCACTCTTGGGTTTGTTTTGGCGCGAAACGCGAGAGCTCCGTAAGTGTTTCCACAACCGATTTACAAAATTTCCTTTTGTAAAATTTCCTGAATTTTCCTTCAAGTAACTTTCTTTTTCTTGGAAAGTTTTTCGATGTTTTTCATGGCATTTTTGTAGAATAAATACCACAATTGAATACTATCAAATTTATGAGAAGTGGTGCTGGAAAACACTGCATTTATTTATTTGGGGAAGGGGCCAGCCATTCACAAAAGATGTCCAAGCTGGGGCAGGACAAACTTGTACATGGATGTCCGAATTTTAAAAAAATTCAAAAACAAAGTTCTTTTTGCCTGTATTTTAATTCTCCTTGCCATTGTAAAATTGGCATTTTGAACACTTCATAATATTATCTAATTCTTTTCTTCAATGATGAATTGAACAGTGTCATGAAATACTAGCTTTCTGCATTTAGAAGTCTTTTTGTATTCACATTTAGTCATAAAAAAAGTGCTAAAAGTAAGTAAAGTTTTTTACTCTTGACATACACAAGTTACGCGAGTTTTTGTGAGACATGGCGGATGTCCGGGGGTTAATTTGCTAGTTTGGGGGAGGGGAGGTCTGAAAATCCATCATTTGGCCGGCCATCCTTTGTGAATGGCCTCAAAGCTTGCGATTAAGAAATCAGGTCTTTGTTGATCATTAGTGCAACAGTTGAAATTGTAGATTTATTGATTTGTGTATATGACCGATAAAATATGTGCATGTGTTCTGTTCTTACCTGAATAACCTGATTTTAGGGTATTCATGCACACTCAGTCAGACATGATGAGAATGAATTACTTTAACCTGTTGAGTGGCAGCGCTCTCCCCCTGATAAGTTAAATCATGTGGCGTTAGACAGAGTAAAGTAATAAAGTAGAGTGCATCTGGGCACAATATGCCTCAGGGTTAAACACCAATCAAAATATTGAAATACATATTAAAATATAATGGTCTGCTTCTTTTGCAAGAATTTTCTTAGATTTCTTGAATTTTGCTACATTTCCTGCAATTTCCCTTCATCTTGAATTTTTTGTTATTGTTAGTAAAATTTCCTGCAAAAAGGAAATTTCCAGTAAAGTGGAAACCCTGTACCATCCCGTGTAGCTGGAGAGGACCGTGGTCCTCTAGTTTTTTAACAGACGTTAATTAGATCATTTATGGTGATTGTAGAAATGCTGCCTGCACTGGAAAGTGTTTGTGTCTGTCTGTTTGTCTGTATGTATTTATGTGTGCCTGTCAGTCAGTTTGTCACCACGATAAGACAAACACTCACAGACACACCTTGATAAACTATGGTTAATTGTAGTATAATTACTTATTTTCATTAACGCAACTTTCTTTCTTTTTCAATGGCGTTTGTAGGCGAAATGATGGCGACAGGTATGGCGAGACTTCAGCATTCATATGAGTGCAACAAATGGATGATATCTTCAGATGACGACTTTCATAACAGGTGAATAGCACTTTAATTTGTAATTTTGAATTTGTGCATGCATATTTAACACTCAAAGTTACTATCACAAGGAAAGTGCTGCCATCTTGCAAAAAAATGTCTGCTAAATATTTTGACCTAACTAAAGTAAAATTTAAAAACTCCTGAAACTAAATTTTTAAAGGTTGCCAATTGACGCAATGGTGGCTGGTGGCACATTTGTATGCAGGGCAATCGTTTTTACCTCTGAGATTGTGTGTTTGATTCTTGCTGGGACACATGACACTTTAAATATGAAGAGTCTGTCAAACACTACCGAAAGTTGTGGGTTTTCTCCCGGTACTCTGGTTTCCTCCTGCAGGGAATGTTGACAGGGTGGGTTGCGATTACCCCCAAACTGACCCACCGTAGCTGTGCTCCATGATCAGACAATTGAGTCGTGGCTGCCTGAGGCACACTTTAATTAAGAGAGCCTTCAACTCGATCAGGTCGAGTTATGTCCTTCGCAATTCAGCTAGCTCTGAGCTGCCAGTAAGAATTACTGAGCAGATTGTTATTATATAACATAGTACATTTATTTGCCGATATGATAATTTCATTTACAATATATTATCTTAAGATTGCTGTGAATATATTCCTCTGGAGTTATAATATATGTACTTTAATTGGCATACATCTTGCTACTTGTCAGATTTCTCTTCAATCTAAGTATATAAACCGGTAATACACATGGCTTTTACGTAATGAATTTAACTTCAATAGACAATTGCAGTAATATCGTCATAAATACACGGTCCTTTTATGCTTAATAGTTTCTCTAGAATTTTGTGTGTTCTGCAGCATATAACTCATCACTTGTATAAATGAACTTTTATTTTTACAATATGTATATGGCTTTGACCAAAACTTTTATATTTAATTAACAAATCGAAATTCTTGATTAATAACCAATTACAGTAAAATTGGTAAAGGAATATAGTACAGTTAAGGGTCTCTTTAATTAGGAATTGTTTGTGGAACAAGAACACGGATGGAGTGTATAGCTATCTCCATGAAGCCTGCATTGCTTGGGTAAATTAATGAGTTTCAACTGTCATAAGATCAAGAGGAAAGTTTTTTTCTATACATAACATATGCTCAAAACTATAAAAAGTATAATAATACACAAAAATATTACTCAACTGTGATTGGTTGGTTTCAGTGCAGTTAATCTCAAACAGCGGTGCAAAAAATTCATGATTTCTGATTGGCTAACCGCCCAATAGTGTTTCGATATAATACGAATATGGTGTTTTGACATAATACTCAATGGAGTGACGTCATAACGATGATATGAAAATGATATTAAACGCTATGACATTGTGCTCAACCACACTCAATAATTGTTAAATATCATAAAATTTAAATTAAACATCTTCACATATTATGAATCTCTGAACCCTCTTATATTAATTGTTTACTCAAACAAACATGAACTGTGTGGAGTCCTGGCCTGGAACACTCTGGTACGGTGACTTTATAGAACCAGTTTTCCTGATAGCGAGGAACATGTCATATGGACATAATAAGTAGTATTTATATGACGCCAATGTATGGAAATTATTTTCTTCTGTTCGCAGATAAAATAGCGTATCATGATCTGGCTTTGTCTAAAGATAACATAAGAAAAATATATCAATTATACAGTCGAACCTCTCTAATATGGACACCTCTCTAATACCGATACCTCTCTAATGTGAACATCTTTCTAATACAGATACCTCTCCAATATGGACACCTCTCTAATGCAGACACCTCTCTAATGCAGGCACCTCTCGAATGCAGACACCTCTCTAATACAAACACCCCTCTAATGCAGACACCTCTCTAATACAGACACCTCTCTAATACAGACACCTCTCTAATGCAGACACCTCTCTAATGCAGACACCTTTCTAATGCAGACACCTCTCTAATGCAGACACCTCTCTAATACAGACACCTCTATAATACAGACACCTCTATAATACAGACACCTCTCTGATACAGACACCTCTCTGATACAGACACCTCTCTAATGCAGACACCTCTCTAATACAGACAACTCTCTAATACAGACAACTCTCTAATGCAGACACCTCTCTAATGCAGACACCTCTCTAATGCAGACACCTCTCTAATGCAGACACCTCTCTGATACAGACACCTCTCTAATACAGACACCTCTCTAATGCAGACACCTCTCTAATGCAGACAACTCTCTAATACAGACAACTCTCTAATGCAGACACCTCTCTAATGCTGACAGTCCTCTCTAATGCCGACTTCTTTAATACAGACACCTCTATAGTGCAGACACCTCTCTAATGCTGATACATCTCTAGTGCTGACACCTCTCTATGTGGGCATCTCTGTAATACAGATACCTATCCAATATGGACATTTCTCTAATACAGATACCTCTCCAATATGGACACCTCTCTCATACAGACACCTCTCCAATATGGACACCAACCTCGTTCACACCTCTCTAATGCAGACACCTCTAAAATGCGAACAACTCTCTAATACAGACACCTTTCTATTGCAGATACCTCTCTAATATGGACACCTCTCTAATGCTGATACCTTTCTAATGTGGACACCTCTCTGATGCAGACACCTCTCTAATGTGGACACCTCTTTCATGCAGACACTTCTCAAATGCGAACACTTCTATAATATAGACACCTTTCTAATACAGACACCTCTCTAATATGGACATTTCTCTAATACAGACACCTCTCTAATATGGACATCTCTCTAATGCCAACACCTCTCTGATGCCCGACACCTCTCTAACACAGACATTTCTCCAATATGAACACCTCCCTAATGCAGACACCTTTCTAATGTGGACACCTCTCTAATGCCGACACCTCTCTGATGCCCGACACCTCTCTAACAGACTAACACAGACATTTCTCCAATAGGAACACCTCTCTAATGCAGACACCTTTCTAATGTGGACACCTCTCTAATGCAGACACCTCTCAAGTGCGAACACTTCTCTAATATAGAAACCTCTCCGATGTGGACACCTCTCTAATGCCTACACCTCTCTAATGCAGACACCTTTCTAATGTGGACACATGTCTTATATTGACACCTCTCTAATAGGGACATCTCTTGAATACTGACACCTCCCCAAAATTGGACACTTCTCTAATACCGGTACTTCTCTAATACAGACACCTCTCTAATACAAACACCTCTCTAATACAAACACCTCTCTAATACAAACACCTCTCTAATACGGACACCTCTTTAATACAGACAGCTCTCTATTAAACTACAATCTTCCACTTACTTTGGCCAAAATATGTCCATGTTTGTCCATCGCAACGAATTTCTGTGTTTGAAGTGATTGAATCATTATTACCTGGGGTGCTTTTGTTTTCATGTAGAAAATTGCTAAACAATAAAAATACGTTTATATATTTTAATGTTTTGAGCGACAACGAAGGCTCTTTGTCGGCAGGGAACGAGAAGTTCCTGTGCTGACTGCTGAAGCTATCGCTCTTAAGGCTGTTCCACTTCAATTGTAACGTAGTCGTAGCGTAGCATTTTCTTTTGTGTGGAAGTCATTAGTCTAATATGAACATGTCTCTAATATGAACATGTCTCTAATATGAACATGTCTCTAATATGGACATCTCTCTAATACGGACATCTCTCTAATATGCACATCTCTCTAATATGCACATCTCTCTAATATGCACATCTCTCTAATATGAACACCTCTCTAATATGGACATCTCTCTAATATGACATCTCTCTAATATGAAGCCTCTCTAATATGAAGACCTCTCTAATATGAAGACCTCTCTTTTATGAAGATCTCTCTAATATGAACA